GGTTTATGATGGTTTCAAGGATTGGACGGACTAATAAAACTAATAAACACAATGACTTAATTGGGAGCACACGGTTCATTTTTCAGTCTAATCTTAAAAACATTGATTTATTATACTATTTTAAGTTTATCAAAATAAAAAATTTTTTTCTACGGCTAATAATTGTTCATTTTTTAATAGTTTAGTTTAGTATACATGTATGCACAAGCGCTAAGTCATCATCCACCTTTTCTCTGAATTTATAAACTAAGTCGCTAATTGCCTCCTTCTACATATATGCTACTTAGTTCTTATTTGGAGTTCGGTTGGGCATTTCTTAATTTTCCGTCAATGCAATAGTTCGTCAGTTAGGGTTGTTGGCGCGCTGCAAGGGTATATATACAATATGGAGCCAAAATTATAAAATCATTTGATGCATTGTTATCCATATATCCATTCATTCATTCCAATATTGTAGGCTTTTTTTTCAGTCGTTTGGTGGTACCTTATTTTGTTTGATTAGCAGCTGAATTGATACTTGAGCGGGTCAAATGATTATGTTCCTATTAATAGGTCAAACGATTTGGACTTCTGCATATTATGAATTCTTTCAGTACCCGCGTCGACTTCACACTTCACAATCTATAGCATTTCCTATACGAATTTTTCTACAGGTATGATGAAATGAGGCCGGTGCAGGAAATTTATATATTACTAAATTAGTAGTTTAATTATAAAAACATTCAAAAAGAAATGAGGGCTCTTAGTTCTCGTATATTGATTTTTTTTTTGGTACAATAATATTGAAAATTATGTTGGCACAAGTGTGTAATTGTAATTAATTAAAATGATGGAGTGTCTTAATCCGATGAGTAACACCAAGTATAAATAACTTGGCCCAGGAGTCCGTCGAGGGCATCGAACCTTTGAAATACAAATTAAGATCTACAACAACAACAATATTTAAGCATTAATCTTTTTGCTCTCTAGCTAGCATCAACATTATCTCCTGCTTAAGTACACACTAATTTACGCCAACAAATCATGGCTGCCATCACTTATGATCATGAGGTTACTTCCTCAATCTGACCAGCAAGATTGTTCAATGATTTTATTGTTCATGGCGACAAACAAACAGATTCCCAAATTCTTGCCTCAAGCCGTGAATAGTGTCGAAATCCTCCAAGAAGATGGCGGAGTCGGAACCATCAAAGTCACCATTTTTGGCGAAGGTACGTCATGTTTTATTTGGAATGTTTTATTGATGTGTATGTTAGTAAGTCAATCTCCATACAACTAGTATATTATTTTATTATCATTTGAATACGTATATGTAGCCAGTTTAAGAGCGTGAAGCACCATGTTGTGGTGCTTGATAAAGAGAATTGTGTGTACAAACACAGTATTGTAGAATGAAATGTCTTACAGAATGCACTAGAAAAGATATCTTAGGAGGTTCAGATGGTGATATCTGCCGAAGGAAGATCCATTTGCAAGAACAAGAGCATATATTTCACCAAGGGAAATGCACAAATCAGCGAAGAAGATATTAAGGCTGGAAAAGAAAAGGCAATTATTGTAAGTGCTATTGATTTTCTTTTTCAATTTTATGTAATAGGAGAAATATGTTATAGTTTACATCTTAGTAGTTTTAGAACTTTGAATGTACAAAATTGATGATTAATACAAAATTTATTCGATTATGAAGTTCCAATATTAAAGTCTCCATTACATTTTATATAGTCAATTCAATTGCTTTTTACTTTTAATTATTTTTTTGCATTTAGCCTACAAAAGGCAACAATAATAATAACAATAATAATAATAATAATTCATATTATTGTTGCCTACAAAAGGAAACAATAATAATAACAATAATAATTATTATTATCATTGTTTAAATAAAATAAATTTTTATACCAACGGTAATAAATTGAATATTTGTAAATGCCATTATAAGCATATTATTAAGACATTTAAAAGTGTCTTAATAGTTCAGGACCTATGGCCACATTGGAATGCACGACACATGTCCGAAGTCTCTCTATAGTCGAAGTGCCTCCATAGCATAGAATAGAATGCATTTTAAAGTGTCTCAATATGGGGGGTTTTCTAGTAGTGTGTTGGGTTTAATTAAGGATTATTTGATCAATTTGGATTATTGCTATTTAATTTGATTTTGCTATTTGAACAAACAAAATTTTCTCCATCTTTTGCCACTCTCTACTTCAATGTAATAACTTAAACACAACAAACAACATCGAAGTTTCAAGATCAGTTTAAGCAAAATATTAAACAAAGCACTAATTGGGGATTAATCAGGTGTTCGAGAAAACCAAAAAATTCTTCATCATGCTTCCGTCCATAGATGTTCTGCATTTCCAGCTCCAAAATTTCATCTCAAGAGATGAACATTTCACCAAGAAGATGTGATGGTGGAAGAACATGCTTCATTTCTTCTTCCAACTGAAACATTATCACTACCAGAAGTGGGGATGGTGGCGGGTTGAGAAATCGAGGGTCTAAAATACCCGATCTCTGATTTTAAGGGAGGACAAAATGATTCAAAAGGATCAACCGTGAGTGTGTATATATATATATATATATTAAGATTACCAAATTAACATTCTACCATTGCATTCCATTAATTCAAGACAACTCCCGTTAAATTGTTGAATAAAAAGTTAACACTGATCAAATTTAGTGATGACTTAGGGCATGTTTTATAATAATACTACTTAATGCTTAAAATTATTTGATTAAACACTTTTTCATTTCAACATGTTTGATAACAAAAACTCTACCTCTTAGTAAATTAAGTGGTGCTGATTCACTGATATTGGGATAAATTATTTTTGGTGAAATGTCTACCTTATAATTTTGCGAGTAAATAGTTTTATTTTTTCCATTCACTTATATTACTGGGTTGAATGATTTAGACAAAATATATACCTTATAATTTTGCGAGTAAACTAATATACTCAACAACTCGACGATTATTTGATGTTGATTTAATAAATTCACAATGTACTTGAGCTCAAACTACACTTGAGTTCCTAGATGTGGACACATGCTTAAAATCAAGTTTAAACTACTTATTCATACACATTCGTAGCAAATGGTATAAAAAAAAATAAAACAAAACAAAAAACAACAGCTCCAACATAAATCTAATTCAGTACTTGTTCCAAAGTTTATCTTGGATTTGCATTCCATTAATTCAAGACAACTCCCGTTAAAGTGTTGAATAAAAAGTTAACAGTGATCAAATTTAGTGATGACTTAGGGCATGTTTTATAATAATACTACTTAATGCTTAAAATTATTTGATTAAACACTTTTTCATTTCAACATGTTTGATAACAAAAAATCTACCTCTTAGTAAATTAAGTGGTGCTGATTCACTTATATTGGGATAAATTATTTTTGGTGAAATGTCTACCTTATAATTTTGCGAGTAAGTAGTTTTATTTTTTCCATTCGCTTATATTACTGGGTTGAATGATTTAGACAAAATATATACCTTATAATTTTGCGAGTAAACTAACATACTCAACAACTCGACGATTATTTGATGTTGATTTAATAAATTCACAATGTACTTGAGCTCAAACTACACTTGAGTTCCTAGATGCGGACATATGCTTAAAATCAAGTTTAAACTACTTATTCATACACTTTCATAGCAAATGGTAGAAAAAAAAATAAAACAAAACAAAAAACAACAGCTCCAACATAAATTTGATTCAGTACTTGTTCCAAAGTTTATCTTGGATTTGCTGAAGAGATTGCCTAGGCTCTAGGGGGGAAAATATTATGAAACAATCACACTAATATCCATACACCAAAAAAAGACAAAATCCAACCAACACAGTCGTCATCCGTTTTCCATGCACGCGCGCGCACCCAATGTGAGATTGCATGTAGAGTAGAAGGTCTTTTATTAAATATATTTAATAATGTAAACTTTTCTAATGTATAGGGCCTATAGCTCAGTGGTAGAGCATTTGACTGCAGATCAAGAGGTCACCAGTTCGAACCTGGTTGGGCCTTTTCTCAAATAAAAACTTTTTATATTAATTTTTCCAAAAACTCTTACTATGTCATTTTTTTTTTCATGACATAAGACAAGAACCAATCCAATGTAGACGCAAAATTCACAACACTAACAATCGTGGAGAATCCTATTCGTCAAGGGGTTTCGTATTTTCTTGTTGTCTTCTTTGTTCGATTTGATTGAGTCAACCCCATTTATTAGTATGTCAAAGTTTGTTTTCTTTTATTTGATAGCTGGTTTTATCATGCTAAAGCCGCTATGTATATATACTATGGGAAATTCCAAATATAGATGGGATTAGAGTTTCCAGATTATGGCGGTTTATTTTTTCGGGTAAGTTTTTTTCTCCTTTGTGGGGTTTATTCTATAATATGAATTATATTATTATGCACTAGTGAACGGTTAGGATTGCAATTGAACACTTTCATAAATTAACTGTTTGTAGTAATGCAATTACATTTCTTTTTTAATTAAAGCAAAATAGTTTCTTCTATTTAAAGATTGCCTAATTATTGTACAAATTTGCTCATGATGAGTTTTCTATCTCTGTTGAAAGATTTTATTTTATTTTTTTAAGAAAAGAAGAGAAATATACTTGACTCGAGTTTAGGGAAAAAAACATCCAAACGAAAAAATAAAATAAAATTAGAAGTTGAATTAAAAACCTCTCCCAAATAAATCATCTATATACTTTGCTCAATTCCAAAATATATTTTCTCGTAAACTTTCCTACGTGTATCAGTTAGTCCTAATCTTTCTAGCAAACATAATAAAGAAATTGTATTATGTAATTAGGACCTTCCTAAAGTGGAGATAAGAACATCACATCTCCTTTCAATTTAGGTCCCAAAACCTTGGAATCATCTAATAATAAACAGTATTTGCTCCAATCAACTCCGTAAACCTTTGCATTGTGCATGGCTAACTAAAGCTTCCTCTTATTGATGTCGATGGATATGACACATTAACATTTCGTCTGCGTTAACTGGATCATGTTTCCTCCCACTCTGATAATACAGTCCCTGATCGTGCCATCACCGTTGGTTCTGCAACAATGCCGCGCCAAATGCTTTGCGACGGCTTCCAGCGTGATTGAGAACCATCCTTCCATGTTTATCTTAGAGCCCTTGTCGAACATCAAGAATAAGTTGTACCACTGCTTCCCGTATCTACTGCTGATTTGGGATAACTTGCTACTCATCGGACATTCTACCACAGCTCCATCAGGTCGATTTTGGTGCTCGTCCCAAAGACGAATTTTTAGTTCGTGTGAAAAGATCTTCGATGGCTTCAATTGAGACTCTGTTATTATTTGGAGGTTTTTTAAACTTTTTAGTTTTGATTAGTAAGAGGCACCTGGAGGAGTTGGTACTTCGCCATCCTGATCTTGATGGCCATACCGGCAAAGGAATTGGGTGGGATTGTAACTCTACCGTCATTGCTGTCGAAAGGGCTACTCAAGAAAAGGGAGAAAAAAAGGAGACAAAAAAAATAGTGCATAATAAGACTATAATATATATATATATATAGACACACACAGTAATACTAATATATATACTGTATACGACTAATATATATATATATATAGTAGAACATCTATAAATTAATACTGTTGGGCCCTCAAATTATTATAAATTTATTGATGTATTAATTATGATAAGTTAACAATTAGTTAATAAAACTTTAGAGTCATTGTAACTAGGGTAACTAAAAATTTAATTTAAGATGAAAATGATAATGATACAATGTCTTCGAAACCAATTACACGAAAAGAAGTACTTAATGCAGCAATATCTCTTCGAATTTTTCGTTACATTATTAGAAATCTACACCAAAACTTTGAAAGCAATAAAAAGAAGCAAAGATGAAATCTTTTTAGATGTCAATTGCAAAAAAGATATACATTACTAGATTCATATTTTACTTGTTCTTAATTTTTTATAATATATTTAAAGTCATTATTAATTTATGATATTGACGGGACCTATATGTACCTAAGACTTTTCTGAAAATTTATTAATTTATTATTTTATCGATTACCTTTATTTTTTATACTGGTCCCGAGTTGGAACCGAAAAAATTATTAATTTATAGATGATATTGATTTATCGATCATTAATATATAGATAATCTACTGTATATATAAGACATATATATACATATACCCGCACACACACACACACATATATATATAGAGAGAGAGAGAGGGAGGGAGAGAGAGAGAGAGCCTATACGGGAAATTCTAAATCTAGATGGGAATAGGATTAGATTTTCTAGTTTACGGCAGCTGGTTTTTTCGTGTGGGTTTTCTTTCTTTTTTTTGTTTTTTTCTTTTGTGTATTACTAATATTGTAGTTTCAATTTTTGAAGTTAACTAGTTAATAGTACTAGTATATTTTTTCCCGTTCATTGTACAAAACATGTATAAATACAATATTAAGTTGATACTTAGATACAAAAATTTGAACCACATTGTGACTTGAATTTTATTCTCTCTAGCATTTGTTAGAATAAAATTGACATTCAAATCGTTGAATTTAAATATATTTAAATTTTTTTGAAATTATTTTATAATTTTACTCGTAGAGTTTTAATGTTGTGATTAGTGATTTGAAAGAAGCAAAAGTGCAGACGACAATCAATTCGTCTAATGAGAACAATCGAATTTCAGACAGTCTTGTTAATGCGATTGAGCCAACAAACAATCTTAGCAAACATGAACAGAATGAGTGATTGAGCCAACAAACAATCTGAGCAAACATGAATAAAAGATGACATTGAAGCGTGCCTCATTGCTCATCCGGATAGGGAACATATGAGTTTGTGAACCTGTAAACAGATAAATTGTACTTACAATTGTATATGGTGTAGAATGTTGCAAAGCCATCATCAACATTTGTCATGACCCGAAATAGGGCCTAGTTGACACGCCACAAGTACAACAATGAACATTGTTCAAGGTCATACAAGTAAGGCAACATACTTATTCTTAAATATCTAATATATTTAATTCTTGCCAAAAAAGGCTTACATTTTATTTATCAAAAGTAACTTGCAGCGGAAACTAAATAATGATAAAACTTCTCAGACTTTTCTTTCTTTCTCAAACATGGTACCAATCTACCATTCTTCCCCGTCATACTACCCCTTGTAGCTACCATCATCACTATCACTCGAAATATCTATTGGGGGGTCAGTACATGCAACTTCAAGTACTCATATGAACTTAAAAACATTTCATTGCAACAAGAGTATTTCAAATTCATTTCATAATATACTTTCATTCGGTAAATAACATTTCATTTCATGAAAATTTCACTTTTGTAAACATTCGCTTTCATATGACGAAGCTAAGACGGTCCCATAAATGTTTGCTTTTATGAAATTGAGACATAACTTTACAAAATCATTAATCCTCATAAACCTTCGCTTTTGCAAAATTGAGACATAGCGATATACTTTATCATGATAACCTGTGCACAGTTCCAGATACAAGCCCTCCGAAATTCGGGACACTTTTAACTTAAAGTTACTCTCGCCTTTCGTTATATTTGGACTTATGCTTTGCAGCTTTTTCGTCCACTTCTACATTCACTTGGGGATTTAGGCTTTCCATCTTTTTCATCCTCCTTTACTTTTTGTGATCACTATCACAATATCGTACGTGTATATAGTCTCAATTTCAAAACATTTGTCATAAATCAGAAAAACATTTATCACTTTTCCAAACATAACAATGAAATAAACATTTAGTTTACAGAAGCACTTAAACGAGCATGTACATTGTGCAAGGGAACACACCTTATAGCTTAAACAACTTCTTCTTCGAGCAATTCAAGACCTTTCTCTGCACCTAACACCATATACAGTCCTTTCTTAATACTAGTCTTTAAGAAATTAAATTGTTGCTTTTGCCTTGTCTTCAGCCATTTGTTTATTGGGTAATACATTCTGATCTCTTATTTATTGTGTACTAACTATGATCTCATTAGAAACAATCTTCATAAAATATTAAAGGGATTACAAATAATCCCACTCAAAGGCCGTACTTCCACAGACAAGACCTTCCTTAATAAATTATTGTTCAACCTTTCACAAAATTTTCAAAAATATATTTTGGACCTTTGAAATGAGTTTTTAAAATATTTCATAGTATTTCACAAAATAATTTTCACAAATATTTAATCAAAACCAGCCATTCATTAGAAACGGTAGAATAGAATAGTCAAAATGTTTGTTACCAAAAGTAACCATCTATTATAAGAAAAATTTTGTAATTTTGATACCTAATAGAATACTTCAAGAGGTTTGTATGGATATAAAATATATAGAAATCCGAGTTTTGGTTTTAGAAAAATAATTGATGAAAGTAGATAGTTTCAACATTTTGAATTCAGAATTCAATGGAGTTTAGAAACTTCATAACACTTATTATACTTTTCAAAAATAGTGTATATTTGATATTTAGGTACCTCAACATGTCAGAAAACAATGACCGCAGGAACCGAATATAACAATTTATTTCTCTAAATATACTTGTCCAAAAATTCTAAATTTTTCACATATTTATAGAGACAAAAAATGGAGCTTAAATTAAAAGTTTTAAAGTTTTATTATGCCTTTAACTCCAACGTTTAAAATTAGAAATTTTGATGTAGTTTGAAAGGCATGACTCGAGAATTACCTCTTTAGACGAATAATATATGACAAGCCGTCGTCACACTAGTCAAATAATAATTACCTACTTAATACAATTACTAGTAGTAAAGTAGCAAGCAGGGTCGATCCCACAGAGAAGGAATACTAATTACCAGGTATAAATTACTCCTATTATTATCTAGATAAATAATGATCTCAGATTTATAAAATTTAAACCTAAAATAAAATAAAAGCAAATAATATTAATTCAAATAATCAGACAAAGAAAACCTAGGACATTGGGTTCACCTACCGAATATTTGGTATAGTTCAATTCACACATATCGACTTTTAATTTCCATTAATCTCACAACGATTCACCTAATTAAGAACTATACACTCGTGTTATAATTCTCTTACTTATATTAACCCTATGACTACTCTCGTGACTATAGGGATTAACAAAAGCACATTAAGACCATTAAGAATCAAATATTGCAAAGGTTATAATCTTACTCTCGTAGCTTTATAACCTAAGTTTATTATTCCTACGAACTAATATTAATCTTCCACTCTCGCTACTTCGATTAATACCTTCAGACATGTAAATAGTGGCCAATTACTTACACGAATTAAAACAAGAATAACAAATATTAATTAATGGAAAAATCAAATAAAAATAAACCAAATAAACCAAATAAATTCGGTGGCTACACCCAAGCCCTAGATTAAAAGAATTTAGCCACTAAACATTATTAAAAATAATTCAATAATATTTAGAGACATAATAAAAGAAAAAAAAATAAATTAAATAATTTGAAACTTCAAAACCGAATGACGCCAAATCCCGCCGACGGTTGCTGCGTTGCTTCGCGGCTGCTGCGTGGCTCGCCGGTGAAGAGGCAGAGGTGGTGCTCGGCTGTGGAGAAGAGGAGAAGCTGCTGCTTGTGCGTGAAGGCAATGGAGCAGGGTGCGGCGTCGGTGGTGCTGCGCGGCGGTGATGGAGGAGAAAGAAGGGCTGGTGCGTGGCGGTGATGGAGGAGGAAGAAGGTCTGGTGCGTGGCTGCCTCGTGGAGTTGGAGAAGAGGAAGCAAGGTGTTGCGGTTTCGGCGGTGGGATGAAGGAGGAAGATGATGGAGATCAAGGTGGTGGTTATGGAAGCAAAGCGGCGGTGAAGATGGTGGCCGGCTGCTTCGCGTGGATGATGGAGGAAGAAGGTGATGGCCGGCTGAAAAGGAGGGAGTTCGGTGGTTTTCGGTCAAGTTTCGGTTCCGTTCGTTGTAAAAATAAATCCCTAATCCTCCTTTTATAGGCTTCCGCTAAACCCTACTCCTTGAAGAACAAGAAAACTTGTTTCCCAATTAATATCGGGATTAAAATTCTTATCCAATTCCAATCCCAAATCGCCGCATAACCAACGTAACCTTCGCCAATTTTCCAAAAATTAGAATCAAATTGCAAAATTGCATGATTGGCCCTCCAATTCTCTAAACTCATTAATTTCTTCCCCATCAATTGCTCCAATGTTTAATTCTTTCCCATTGAGTTGCTTTTAATTCGATTTTAGCTCAAAACTTCAACAATTCTTCATTTGAGTACAATTCCTACAATTAAAGATAAAATCACATAAATAGCATATTTGTACTCAAAATATATTGCAAAAATCACAAATTAGGGATATAATAAATAGGTAAAATATAAGCATATCAAATACCCCCAAACTTGAATTATTGCTTGTCCTCAAGCAATCCCAAACATTAAACAGACAAAAACATTTAATTATTTAATTTGGCGGCCTCAG